TGCGTTTAAAAATATTTTATTTGAAGGGAGAGGGAGGGGTGGGGGAGGGAGAGAGATGAATCTCCCGTCTGCTCTTCTACTCGCCAACCGACTCACAAAGGCCAGGGCTGGGCCAGGCTGAAGCCGGGAGCCTGGAGCTGCATCCAGTCTCCCCCGCGGGGGCAGGGCCTCCGGCCGCCTTCACGGCTTTCCCGGGGAACCGGACAGAAGCGGAACAGCTGGGGCCTGAACCAGTGCTCACACAGGATGCTGGCGTGCGGCGCTGCCAACACCGTTCGCAAACCCCAGACACACCTTGAAAATAGTTGTGAACATCAATATATTTTATTCCTCAACACTGTAACACACATGGCACTACGCAGAGTTCAGTATGTGTTTATGGTTCCTTTTCTAAGGTAAAATCTCCACGCAATGGCACAAATAAATTTTTGAAAAACGCATACATCTACAGAGCCAAACTCCCACAGGATATCAATTACTGTCTCCACAGAAAGTCTGGCCTGCCCCCGCCACGGGCCCCACTCCACCCGGCCTGCTTTTGGGATCTAACACTTACTGGGTGTGGTCAGTCTTCCTCACTTAGTACGGAGTTCCTGAGACTCATCAACTTTCTAGTGAGCATCCGTTTATTTCTTAATAATTCATGTTTTTAACGATTTACTTATCTGAGTTACAGAGAGGGAGGGAGGGAGATCTTCCATCTGCTGGTTCACTCTCCCATCGGCCACAAAGGCGAGGGCTGGGCCAGGCCAAGGCGAGGGGCTTTGTCTGGGTCTCCCACGTGGGTGGCAGGGGTCCAGACAACTGTGCCATCATCTGCTGCTTTTCCCAGCACGTTAGCAGGGAGTTAGATTGGAAGTGCAGCAGCCAGAACTTGAACCAGCACCCACGTGGGATGCCGGTGCTGCCGGCGGCGGCTTTACCTACTGTGCCACAATGCCAGATCTCCATTTTAAGAATCTGCTATAACTCTCCTTCAGAGAGTCCCTGGGGTTTGTATGCCCCCCTACTCCAGAGCCAAGGCCACTCCTGGGGCCCCAGCCCCTCTCAGGCAGTACTGGGGGGCCTGCCTGGTCCAGCGCAGCGCTGCTCCTGGACTCAAGGCAGGTGGCCCGTGGACACGGCCTGCCCCCAGCACCAGCACTGTGCTTGCAGCTCCAGCTCCCAACCTGGGGAGTGCTGGGAATCCGAGGCCTGGTCCTGCAGCACCAGCAGCCTGGAGGCAGTGGGGGGGACTGCGTGGCAGGGATCCGAGCATCCTTTTTGGGCCACAGGAGCACCTCAGACCCCTGCTGCCACTGCTACTATCAACTACAGCCAAGAGAGGTACAGTGAGACCCACTGCTGGATCCAACCAGAACTAGAGCCAAAGCTGCGACCCCAGAACCACACCGAGATGGTGTCTAAGGAAATGCTTGCCGTCCCCGAAAGCTACCTTTTTAAAATGATAGAAACGCTGGATTCCCCAGATACACACACGTCAGCATAGAAACACTAGAAGCAAGAAAAAATAAGGCCATCTGATGCTCCAAAAGGAACACAATAGGGGCCAGGACTGTGGCACCGCCTACCACGCTGGCATCCCACATGGGCACTGGCTCAAGTCCCGGCTGCTCCACTTCCAATCCGGCTCCCTCTGATGGCCTGGGAAAGCAGCTGAAGATGGCCCAAGTGCTTGGGCACCTGCACCCATGTAGGTAGGAGACCCCGAAGAAGATCCTGGCTTTGGATCAGCCCAGCCCAGCTCTGGCGACTGCAATCATTTGGGGAGTGAACCAGAGGATGGAAGCCCTCTCTCTGCAACTCTGCCTCTCAAATGAGTAAAACTTAAAAAAAATTTACTTATTTGAAAGGCAGAGAGAAACACACACACACACACACACATCCATCTACTGGTTCACTCCCCAAATAGACACAGAGGCGAGGTCTGGGCCAGGCGGAAGCCAGGAGCCTGAAACTCCATGCAGGTCTTCCAGATGGGTCAGGAGCCCACGTACCTGTGCCATGTGCTTTCCCAGGCACATTGGCAGAGAGCTGGATCAGAGGCAGAGCAGCCAGGGCTCAACCAGTGCCCGCAAGGGCCTGCTGCACGATGCCGGCCCCAGCTGCACATTCTTGTCATCAACACACGGGACATTCTCTAGGATGTGCCATGTACGAGCCCACAAAACAGGCCTCAACAAATTAAAAAAATCAGAATCCTTGAGCCGGCGCCGTGGCTCAATAGGCTAATCCTCCACCTTGCGGCGCCGGCACACCGGGTTCTAGTCCCGGTTGGGGCGCCGGATTCTGTCCCGGCTGCCCCTCTTCCAGGCCAGCTCTCTGCTGTGGGCCGGGAGTGCAGTGGAGGGTGGCCCAAGTGCTTGGGCCCTGCACCCCATGGGAGACCAGGAAAAGCACCTGGATCCTGGCTCCTGCCATCGGATCAGCGCGGTGCGCCGGCTGCAGCGGCGGCCATTGGAGGGTGAACCAACGGCAAAGGAAGACCTTTCTCTCTCTGTCTCTCTCTCACTGTCCACTCTGTCAAAAATTTAAAAAAAAAAAAAAATCAGAATCCTGTCAAATTTCCTTTCTATTGTGGAATAAAATTGGAAATCAACAAAAGAAATTCTAGAAGTTATACAAATACATGGAGACATGGTCTTATAGGACAATGCCTCACTTAAGAAATCAAAAGAGCAGTTTACAAATTGTTTGAAAGTGAAAATGGCCACACAGCACAACTCCTGGGAGAAAGGGAATGCTGACACAGCACCCACACCGCACCCTGCTTCATGCTAACGCATCCTGGGAGGTAGCTGACGGCTCGGGTGCTCGGCCTCTGCCACTCACGTGGGAAACCCGGGTGGGATTCCAGGCTCCTGGGTTTGCCCTGGCCCAGACCTAGCTGCTGTGGGCACTTAGGGAGTGGGCTGGTGAACCAAAGGCTTTGCTGCTCTGGCTTTCCCAGATGAGCACACTCCATAGAGTACATGCATGGGATGGTCTGTCCAGGCATCTTCCAGTGATGGGCCCTAGGCACGTTCCGTTTGGGCTCACTATGGAAAAAGCGGCTCTCACACAATCAAGAGCCCTGCGTTCACTTTCCTGGGCGGGCAGGCAGGCGCATCCAGTTTTCCCAAGAAACTGTTAGACCCTTCCCTGGAGTGCTTATACCTGAAGCAGCTTCATACCCTAACGAAGAGTTCGCTACTCCATTCCTCACAGAATCGGTGTTGCTTTTATTTCAGCTGCTTCAGCAGATGTCGGGCAGTGTTTTATTGTGGTGCTCTCGTTAAAACTTTTTAAGGCTTATTTATTTGAAAGGCACAGTGATGAGAGGTAGGGGGAGGGACAAGGAGATTTTCCATGTGTTGGTTCACTCTTTAAGCCAGGGCTGGGCCAGGCACCCCATGGGTGACAGGAATTCACGTCTTTGCAGCAGCACCCATTGCCTCCCAGAAGCATTAGCAAAAAGCTGGGTCAGAAGTTGGAGGCAGGGTCTCAGGGGGTCCTAGCGTCCAGGGCTGTCTGCTGGCCTGTCCCTCAGGGACTTTCTCCATCTGTGGATGGCTCCAGCCCACTTCCATGACAGCTGCCCCTCCTCCTTCCCACTACTGTGTAACATGTGACAGAACATATAGCAATGCTGGGCCAGGTACGCTCCTTCCCGTGATGTGCCACGTGTAACCAAATGCCAGGACCCATCCAGCCTCTTACTGCCCCCAACTCCTGGCATGCCTTTCCGCCCTGCCCTAGCTGGGGGAAGCCACTCACACACTGCTGGCCGAATTCTCTGCCACTGTTGGAGACTTCTGCCCTCTGGGGCCTTGTCAGGTGAGGGCAGACTGGACTGGATCCTACCACCTGCAGCTGTCACAGGATCCAGGATATGGTGGTGAGGGACTGCTCCAAGGCCACACACACATTCCTGAGCTTGCCAGTGTCAACCAGCACACGCTCAGCCCTGCTATCCCTGCGGGATTTGCGTTCTGCTGACTGCTCCTCCCACTAGGCACAAGTCTCTGGCAAGAACCCTGGTTTGAGTCCAAAGCCCAGGTTTGTTTGCCCCCCCCAGCCCTGCCTTTTAAAAAGCATTCCATATGGACACTGGCTGCTCCACTTCTGACCCAGCTCTCTGCTGTGGCCTAGGAAAGCAGCAGCAGACACCCCAAGTCTTTGGGCTCCTGCACCCAGGTGGGAGACCCAGAGAAGCTCCTGGCTCCTGACTGGCACAGCTCCAGATGTTGTGGCCATCTGGGGAGTGAACTGACTGACCTTTCTCTGGCTTTGAGATAAAAGAAAATTCTGTCTCCAAGATATTTTTAAAAAACCTGAAAAACCGAATGGTAGGCAATGGACTTTGCAACAGTGCCCCCCCAGTTCAGGCCCTAACGACTCCCCCCAGCTATTACGCCAATATACCAACGCAAGCTGTTCAACCTCCTTCAGTAACCAGGACCAGATCTGACTTCTTCAAAAGGCCTGCTGCTGGGCCAGAGCCCAGTGCCGCACTGCAGGCGGACACACACCGTAAGCTCCCAAAAAGCTCACAGGTGGGGTGCTGGCATACAAGCCAGCCAGTCATTTGCCCATTCCCTTTGATACAGATGATCACGTCAGTCAAGGTCTGTCCAGGGGACTCATGAGTGCGCCCTCTGCCCCACTCCCTCAGGGGGGAGGGCACAGCACACTGTGTGTACCGAGAACCCTTGGCATGGTCAACAAAGGCTGAGACTCAAAAACAGAGCTCAGGACAGGGCCGACTCCACCTCAGCAGCAGGCAAGTGGACGAGGACTGTGTGGACTGTGACAGAACAAAGCAAGCTCCCCCAGTCCCTCGTTCAAGCTGAGAGGCGCGTTTCCCAGTGCCCCGCTGTGCATGCGACAGCTGCTGTGTGTGGCTGGCCAGTCTGAGTGAAGAATCGAAAGCACCAGCTACTGAACGGGCTGATCTCAAAGCTCTCACCTCACTGTGAAATGAAAACTTAGGGTTTCAGTATTAAAGCAAAGACAAAACATAATTTTAATTGTTTTAATCAAGTAACGTAGCTGTTTGGAACAGGAAATCTTAAGACAGTTCAATAGAGCAGTGAAGGATCACTCTATTAGGATACCCTCCATGAATAAAATTCAACAGATTACGTGAACTGGAATTCCACTGGAAACTTGGCACCAGACTGAACATTAGTCCAAGCCAAAATTTTCTCTTTAGTGTTGAGAAGCCCTAAACATATTTTCCTTCAGGTTAAAAGTAAAAAGCTCTATAACAGAACCTCATTAGCTTGACACTGTTGAGTACAACTTAGGTCACCAGGATCTCCTATGGGTATTTCAGTTGATGAAAGCAAACTGGCCATACAGCAAAATTTGAAACCTAGGCGACATATGCGTTTGCAAAACTCCCCTCTTTGGTGTGACACAGCACATTCCATCCAGGTATATGGCTCCTGTTCCACTCTCATCAGAATCTACCAAAGGCAGTTGTAAATAAACTCTCTCAAATAAGATTGCTAGGTTTCAGTTCCTTAAAATATCAAGCTAACAAGGTTTTATTTTATCAAATGTTTGTATAATTTCAATGTGAAAAAATTTTTACATACATTTGTTAAAGTCTCATAATCTGTGAGATGGGTCACAAGGAAATAAGGAAACGCTGTGAAAATCCTCCAAACAAGCTTAACCATACGGACTCCCAGTTCCCACAGTGCACTTCTTGCAGAAAGGAATAAACACAACAATTTTCCATCTTGAAGATGATTACTCAAATATAGTCAGAACTCGGATCAAGTGAGTTTACATTAGCTAACTACTGGGCAAGGAATTCTCTCACAGGTCCAAACCCGAAGCCCTGCAGGGCCGGCAGAGGCCCCAGTCACCCGCACTCAGAGCCAGCGTCACAGACCTCTCGGGTGTCTGCCTAGATTCAATGTGAAGTAAAAAATATCCCAAGTCTTACACCAAAATAGAGGCTTCGACTTAGAAATATGCTTTTAACCTTATTTTTAAAATAAGACAGAAAAACAAAAATCAAGTTTGAAACACAGTAACACTTATTTTGGCAAGCTAGCAACCAAAATCTAGAAAGCGTACGTAAGCTATGTGGTTCAAGTGGAAAAGGCATTCAAGAACAACCTTAGTATTCAGGGAAAAATCACACTGAACGAAATATACAGTATGTCTAAGCATTCGGAAGTTATAATTTAAACCATAATGGTAAAAGCTAAAAACTATGCTCAGTTTCTGCTAGAGATTAAGTGCACCTTTACCTGTTTCCCCCAAATAAAATCAGCTGACTATGTAATCACACCTCAGAATTTGTGTTCTCTTAGTACAAAGCAACCACTACACACACATACAATGCTTGCTTGTTAATGTAGTAGTCATTTCCCTGGCTCATCCAACGTGCAATGCACACGACTTCAAAGACTACAAATTTGGGGAAATTGTACACAAACTGGAAAAACAAAACTTCAAGTTTCAAAACCTGCTCTTAATCAACGTTTACAGGACACTCAGGTCACGTCTGCTCCTCAGATGTTGCGCTGTCATTTGATCAGCAGTCTACCTTGGCCTAAACGTGCATTACCAAACACCAATCCATGGGACCAGAGGTAAAACTTTCCAAGTACTGTATTTCTTAGTGGCTGAATAAAGTCATTACAAATACACACACACTCTGAAGACCTCATTATGGTCTCAGCACCTAACAACGTATCACAGGCTCCAAGAATCCTATCAGGTTAAATGATGGTACATTATAAAAGGAGCCAATTACTTCAGCCAAAGTCATTCAGAGCCAAAAATCTTAAGAATGACCAAAATCAAATCTTTATTTTTGTTAACTGTATAAATGTGATCCAAATGTGTCCATCACTAGTTTTTCAAAAAGAAACATGCTATAAAATAAGCAAACTCTATCTGCTCACTGATGTGTATGGACTCCCTAGATGTCTCACTGGGCTTAAATACAGATCACTCACAGTAATAGATTTTCTGAGTATAAAGTGTAGCATGATGTTAAGCTATTTTAGCTTTTGCACATACATGTTGCACTTCTGGCTGATAATGGAGAAAAAGTTGCAGCATTACACTGTTAAGCTAGGTTGCATCCGGCCCTTTAAATGGCATCAATATCAATGTCGTCATCCTTGTTGTCAGACTTCACAGTTTCAACTTTCGGTACACTGGCAGTCTTCGAATACACCACCTGATAAAATAAATTATGATTGTAAACCTGTCCCAATCAATCTGCATTTAACACATACAGTCACAAAGCAGATGCAGCATGTACACTCTCGGTACACGTGTACACTGCCTCTCCCCTGCTTTCCTCGTTTTCTTTGCAGATCACAGTCTCTGGTCACAGAGGGAGAGATGTTCATCACCCTCTACAATCCATTCATGATTATTTCCCAAACTACTGTCCAAACATTTTAACAAAACACCATCATCAATGCTCTATTTTCTCCAGAGTTTACCTCAATGTTCTCATCTTCATCATCTTCTTCACCACCAGAAGACTCCTCCTCTGCCTCCTTCAACCATTTAATAAATGGCTCTGCTTTGACACGAATCTCTTTGGCAAGTTCTTTTGAGACGTATTTCTTAGAAGCCTAAAAACCGATCAGTACGATTTTCTTAGTTTGTTAGTGCAGATACAAAACTGACAAGGCAGGAATCGCCAGCCGTCCCAAGTCACTCCTCCACCCGAAAAACCCCCAGCAGCTCTGGCGCAACACTCCTGACCTCTCAGAGTCCACTCTTGTGGTCCCCACCTTTTCCGACCAGCTGATGATGACTTCTTCTTCTAAAAGGTCTGCATCGTACATCTCCTTCAAGATGTGTGGAATCTTGGAGATGAGCTGAGCCTGATGCATTGCTACCACACACTCCAAACCATGAAGAAGGTACCGCTGAGCTTTTTTGTTGTTGTGACAAAACTGCAAACAGAGATTTTGGCATTAACAAACTTTTCGTTCATGATCTAGGCTGACAACTTCTAACAAATGAGCCGAAGAGGTTAAAGTGATAGATGGCAGGCCCAGGGAGAAACAGCTGTCATTTCATTTATGAATCTGTTTCCTTACTCTTAGAAAATGGCGCCTGTATTTCTTAATTTGTTCCCTGATCTTCTCATTAAAGAGAACTTCAGTCAGAACAAGAGGGCCCATGGCTTTCACGTCCAGCCTTTCTGCCTCAGCGACGATTTCCTTGTCAGATGAGTCAATGACACCTTCTTCTTTCTTTTTCTGCAGAGAAAAACCAGAGAAAGGGACTTGTTATTTTGATAGTTGCTCAAGACTCCAGGTGCCCCTGCATTCTGGCAACTACGCTCCACGTCACTTCTTGAATGGACAGAGAACGCGAGAACTACACGGCCATTAACCAGAATATTCACACGTATCGAGAATGCACCTGCCTGCTGGCCAGCTGAATACAGTAATTATCTGAAAGGCAGAACCTGAGGAGCACAGGTTCACAGCCGGAGCAGATGTTCACCTTAACAAAATCAAACAGGATGTTGACGCGCTCCTCCACAGTCCTCTCCAGGTCGTCACTGAGCGTCAGGACTTTCGCATGGTCACTGATCTCGTCCATTCTGCGCCTCTGAGCTTCCTCAGTTGTGTCCTCTCCCCAGTCGTCATCCTCCTCCTCCTCCTGTTTACAAAAGAAGACACTTGGTCAAGGGCATTAAAAATGTTTGCAGATGATGCCAAGTTAATGACATCAAATTCACTTTCTACCTCTAAAATAAATTAAGTTCTTCTGATTTTAAGCAACCAACAGTACCTGGGATCTGAAACACAATGCAACACACATCAACCGTATCCCAGGGCCTTCAACACTGCACTCACCACAGCATGTGGAGGAGGACTGATTTCATTTGGCGGCGGCGGCGGTGGTGTTTCACTGCTGGATACGGAGCCATTCTCCTTGTCTTTGCCCTTCCTGTTCTTCTTTTCCTTTTCTTTCTTCCCTGTAGCACTGTCACTATTCTCTACATGGAAACAGAATGAAATACAAGTTTAATCTCATAGCGAACATCTCAGTGCCCACCGTCCTGTCTGTCTGCTATGGATCACCCTCAGAAAACCAAACAAAACGCTTATAATTCTAGATTAGAGCCAGTGATATGGTGCAGCTGGTTAAAATGCTGCCTGTAATACAAGCATCTCACATGGGCGCCTTCCAATCCAACTCCCTGCTAATGCACCTAGGAAAGAAGTGGAAGATGGCCCAAAGCCTCTACACCCAGGCAGGACACAGTCCTGGCCACTGCGGCCACCTGTGGAGTGAACCACCAGAAGAGGATGTCTTTCCCTCTCAAACAAATCTTGAAAAATTCTATAGATCATACTTATCCCACTGTGTTTCAAAGCTGAGAAATTCAGTCTGAGAATGGAAAATCCTGGGAATCAATTGTTGGATGAGAATAGACATGAAGTGATGATGTCTCAAATGCCCAAGAAGTTCAACATAGGCCTTGTGACCTTGAACAAGGCTTCTATCTCAAACCAGCCTTCTCCAACACAGTTGAACACTGTTTAAGTCTATATAACGGCTTGTCTCACAGGAAAGAGAACACCGGAATAGGTTAGACTTCCTTGCTATAGCAAGCTCAAATTGTGTCAGACAGTTTTGACAGTCTGCCACAGAGTGTTGCTTGCAGTTTAAAGACCCTTAAATCTTAAGACAAGCTCTCCGTTTACCAAACAACACTAATCTTAAGTGTCTCATTCACCTTAAGATGGCCCATCTCAAAAGTTGATGGTATGGTGGAAAAATCTACTGTATTCAACTTTAATGGCACAAAAAAAAAAAATAGTAGACTTTTCAAACATTTACATGTAATGCAACGTGGTGTTCCCATATTCCTTTTGCAACAGAAAATCTCCCACTTTGTTTCCAAGAAATTTTGTTAAAATCTTATTAGTGGGGCTAGTGCTGTGGCACAGCGGGTAAAGCCACCGCCTACAGTGCCAGCATCCCATATGGGCGCCAGTTCAAGACCTGGCTGCTTCACTTCCCATCCAGCTCTCTGCTATGGCCTGGGAAAGCTGTAGAAGATGGCCCAAGTCCTTGGGCCCCTGCACCTGAGTGGCAGACCTAGAAGCAGCTCCCGGCTTCGGATCAGCGACGGCCAACTGGGGAGTGAACCAGCAGATGGAAGAGCTCTCTCTGCCTCTCCTTCTATGTAACTGACTTTCAGATAAATAAATAAATTTAAAAAAAAAAAATCTTATTAGTTTAGTATGAAGCCTTACCAGGTGGGTTTTTGAGAATGAACGTGCAGAGTTTATGATGTGTGTCAAGCATGCCTCGATAGCCACAGGCTTTACAAGAATTGCCTATTGTTTGCTTCTTCGGATTGACATGCTGGAAAAGGAAAAAAAACCATCATAAGAAATGAGAGACGGCGACCTACTTAAAAAAAATTGTAGGTGCGTTGTTTTCTAACAGCAAAGTGTGCCTTGCCTTCCCAGGAAAGGCAGTGCTACCACAGGATTGCTCAGAGGCAGGCAGATGGTTTTGTCTGTTCCAAACAAAAACCCTGCTGCATTCACTCACCAGATCTGTTTCAGGATTCTCACACTCAGGACAGAGAACAAATTTTTTAATGAATCCATCCAACATGTCTTGCAGCTTATTCGCCTCATGAGATCCATTGACAATGTAACGGTCATTCTTAACATCAAACTGGGTCTGTGCTCCCAGCTCACAACCAAAATATTTGGTGGGATCTATTTGGAGAAAAACAATTAGATTTGCCTCATTACAGTTAACTAAATGTCTGGCTGCTTGTTCATATCTTACACAAAAATCACTGTTTTTAAGTTGTTGGGCACAGAGCTAGTGGTGTAGGTAAAGCTGCCACCTGCAGTGCCAGCATTCCATATGGACGCCTGTTTGAGTTCCAGCTGATCCAGCTCTCTGCTATGGCATGGGAAAGCAATGTAAGGTGGCCCCTTGCACCCAACTGGGAGACAAGAAGCTCCTGATCAGCTCAGCTCCAGCTGTTGTGACCATTTGGGGAGTGAACCAGCAGATGGACAGCCCCTCTCTCTGCCTCTCAAATCTTTAAAACAAAAAAAATCGTGCTAAATCTAATGTGCTGCCCAGGTAATTTTGTGAACTTAAGACAACTATTACATTTGTTAGAGGTTCCACTCCTTACCCTTTCAACTAATTAGCAAAGAATTCGTAAATGTTTTTCAGCTTAAAGAGGATCAAGACAATATATATTCGTCATATACCTTTTCAGACTTCTCCAAGAAGCTTTACTTACACGTTGGAGGCCGATTAAGCGCCTTTGCAACGTCAACCATGTTGACTATAACTGTCTTGATTCCATTTCCTTTGCCCTCAACCTAAAGAGAACACGAACTTTATTTTTGCATTTAATCTACTTAAACATCTACAGTCTTCCTACAAAATCGAAGATCAGCATTACCTTGGCAATCAGACGGGGCATCTTGTAGCGATAGAACTGGTCTGACACGCTGCGGTTGACGTTGACAGACATTTTGGCTTATTAGTGGCTTTATCAATAAGATGAAGAGATCTTTGATTGCAACTTTTTGGTATCTTCTGTCTGGAGAAGAAGGGATGACATAAACGACTGCAAGAGTTCTCGGTCTCTGACATGAAAAAATTTTCGCCACTGAGGCTGCAAGCTTCTTGCTTGTATGCTATGTGTCCCCAATACAGGTACCAATGGCTGCGCAACAGCTCTGCAAGAGAAGCAAAGAACACACCCGATCCCCGCAGGTGTAACGTCACTCCCGCACCGACGGGCTGCCCGCGCCACACACAGCCCCGGACCCGGCGGGGCGCCTCCGACTCCCCGACCCCGCACGCCGCCGGCGACAGACGGGGCCTCCGCGCTGGCGACGCCGCGGCCCGGGCCCGGGAACGCCGGCCGCCGCCCGCGGAAGCCCGCCCCGCCCCCACCCGCCGGGGCGGCCAGCCCTGCCCCCCGAGCCGCAGTCCGGGGCCGAGCGGAGCGTTGGCGCCGCGGCGCCGGCTTACTCCAGCGTCCGGCCGCGGGCGCGAGGGCCCGCCCGGCCCCGCGCGCCTGACCTTCGGCCCCGCGCCCTCCGAGGCGCTCAGGGGGCGCCGGGTCCATCCCCGGGCCCGCCGCTGCGCTTGTGTCGCCTGTCATCTCTGCCTGTGGGCGCGGTGACTCACAGATGCGGCAGCGCGCGCTTCTCGCCCGCAGAGTCAGATGTCCTCGCTCGGCTGCAGTTCGCGGGTCGCCAGCTCTCACAAACTGCGCACACTCCGCGGCGGATCACGGCGGCGGCTCTGCCATTCTTTGTGCTGTCCCATCTTCCCGTTTCGCCTCGCCGGCACGCGAATCCACCGTTTTCCGTCATAAAAGATATAAATCCCAACGCTGCTCGCCCGGGACTGGGATGAAGTGAGGCGCGTCTCAACCCGAGTCCGAGTCCGGGGCGGCGGAGGCGGCGGAGCGGAGCGCAGCGCAGCGCGGGGAGCGGCCGGGCCAGGTGCCGCCGCCGAGCAGCGGGAGGGGCTGTCCCAGACGTCCGCGGTCGGGCAGCGCGGAGCGGCGACCTGGCGCGGAGAGACGGCGCCGTGAGCCGCGGCCGGGCGGGCGCGCCTGCCCCGCCAGCCAGCGGCCCGCGGGGTCGGGGGGCGAGGAGGGGGCGCGGGGCCGCCGCCCCTCCAGCGGACTCACCTCTGGAATGTTCTCGCTCTGACTGAACAACGCCGCCGCCGCGCTCAAGCTACCTTCGGCCCCAGCGCCCGCCCCTCGCGCTAGGCCGCACTACCGATTGGCCGGAGGCCCGCCCGAGCTCGCTTTTGATTGGCCTGCACGCCGCGTCAATCGCGCCCTCTCCCCGCCCCCTCTTCCTGAGGGTCCTGTCGCCGCTTCAGCCCGCCTCCAGCCGGGGTCCCGGCTTCCTTCCTCTCCCCTCCCCCCGCTTTTCCCAGTGGCCTTCGCGGCGCAGGCGCCAGATCTCGCGAGAGAGGGAGCGGCCGCCGCGGCGGAGCTTCGTCTAGTGGTTACGGCACTCTGGGAAAGATGGCGGTTGGTTCCCCTCCCCCGTCTGCCTGAGCCTGGCCCTGGGCCTGGGCCTGGCTCGGGCCTGCAGCGCCCGGGCCGCTCCTCGCGGCGGCGCGCTCGACTAGGGGCCGGGCACTCGCCCGCCGGCCCCTGCCCGGCTCCTGGATCGCGAGTGCTGCCTTTTATCCGCCTCTTTGGGCCGAGTGGCCTCGGGGGACCCTGGCCCTTGGATGGGGCAGGCCAGGGACTTGGTCGCGCCGAGCCTGGCCGCTCCCCTCCCACACCGTGGCTCCCCGGTTTCAGAAGTGGAAACCTCGGACTCGCTCGTAGCGGGGCTTCCTGGCAGCGCCCCCGCCTCGGCGCAGTGTCCGCTGCGCTGCCCCAGGCTTGGAGAGCCCCGACCCTCGCTGCCCCTCTGCCGCTTTGCCCCGAGTGACCGCCCGTCGCATGGGGCCCCGGGGTGACCAGGGCGGCTGTGGCGACAGGGCTCGCGTCTTGTTCTGCCGCAGCTTCCCTGTGCTTCCAGGAACTCGGGCTTCTGCGTCCGAGTCTGAGCTGGACTCGGACTGCTGGCTGCTTCCTGGCCGGGCTCCCCGGGTCCGCACCTGGAGTGGACAGCGTGGGTGTTAACCCGTGCAGCTTGCAAGCTTAGAGGCTTTTTTTTTACATCAAAGTGCAGGGTTACTCTTTTTTTTTTTAAATTTTTTTATTTAATGAGCATAAATTTCCGAAGTACAGCTTATGGATTACAATAGCTCCCCCCCCCCTGTAACTTCCCTCCCACCCACAACGCTCCCCTCTCACTCCCTCTCCCCTTCCAGTGCAGGGTTACTCTTCCTGGTGTTGTGGGCTCTGTAAGCCGTTCGGCCCGCCTAGTGCGGGTGTAGGGAGTAACTCGGCCGTGCTGGGCAGGGTCGCGGCGGCGCGTGACTGCAGGGTTGAGGCCGGTTGGCTCTGCGTGGCTGCCCACGCGTGACGTTATTTTAGAAACTCCTGGAAAGGAAGGGCGCGCAGCTCTCCTGGGGTAAGAGGCTTTGTCCTCAGGAAAGTTTTAAATAAATACAAGGCGCCTTTTTTCCCTTGCCCAGTTTTTAATAGTTTGAGCTCATTTTAAGTTCTGGTGTGTGGCACTCACAGCCACGTTGTGAGGCTCTCCACCCGCCCTCGCAGCCGAGTGCTCTGGCGGCGCTATCTTACTCACTGCTAGACCCCAGGACAACGTTTATTCCCATTCTGCAAATGTGCGAACAGGCCTAGTGGAAAAATTTAAGCAACTTGCCCAAAGTCATACGAGGGTATTTAAACAGTAAGTCATGGAAAATTTTGACTGACACGTCTGGTGAAAATAAAATGTAGAAACCATGCATAGTTATTTTTGTAGTATGCATTTTCCATGAAATTTTTGAAGACCCCTTGTGTGCCTGGATTGCAGGCTTTTTTGTGACAAAACAACCTTTTAATTTCATTTTCTCACAAGCTGGACTCCCTCACAGACCCAGTGAAGGTCAGAGCTAGGATTTAGGCCCAGAGCTGCGGGGTCCCAAAGCCATCGCCTTGAACAGCAGGGGCGCAGCCCGCAGGCCCGCGTGAACGCCGGCGGGCCTGTGCGGGGAGGCAGACCCGCGTGAACGCCGGCAGGCCTGTGTGGGGAGGCAGACCTGCGTGAACGCCTGCAGGCCTGTGCGGGGAGGCAGACCCGCGTGAACGCCGGCAGGCCTGTGCGGGGCGTCCTCACGCTCATTTTACGGGCGAGGAGACTCGGGAAGGGGAGGCGGTGTTCCCGAAGTCGCCTGTCACTGTTTGAACTCCGGCTTGTGTGACGCCAGGCCTGTTGCACAATTCCGCCTCCCATGTCTGGGCCTGTGCCCATTTGGCTGTGTCACGTCCTCCAGTCAGGTGCTCACCGTCCACTAAAGGATGCACGGGCACCAGGTGCGCCTGGATGCCTGTTGGACGAGTGTGGCGCGTGGCCTGAATGGCAGACGTGAGAGGCAGGCAGCTCTCTGGTTGTTGAGACGTTGTCTTGCCGTGCACGAGCCCCTCACTGCACAGGATCAGCCCCACGCGGACTTTGGGAGACCACCTGTCCAGTACCTTAGTGCCCACGGTGACGGGGCCTGTGGCCCGGCTCCCCCGGTCTGCACCTCGTGAAGGGCAATCAAAAGCAGTCGTCGGCTGCTCCCCTGGCCTCCTGTGACACCTCTCTCCCAGCTTTCAGTTTTTCAGAAGTTTCTTTAGGGACCGGCACTGCCTGGCAGGGTAAGCCTCCGCGTGTGACACTGGCGTCCTGCGTCGCACCGCCGGTGGGAGTCCCGGCTGCTCTGCTTTCAGCCGATCTTCTCTGAATGCACCCGGGAAGACGGCAGACGGTGGCCCGGGTGAGAGGCTCTGCTGGAGTTCTGGACTCCTGGCGAGGCAGCCGTTTGGGGAATGAGCCAGTGAATGGAAGATGCCTCTGTCTGTCTGTCTGTCGTACTCTCTGACACTCTGCTTTTCAAATAAATCTAGAAAACAATCGAAAAGTTATTTGTTTATTTGAAAGGCAGAGAAAGAGGCAGAGATCGCCTAGCCCCTGGGCCCCTTCCCAAATGTCCACCGTCCCACCCAGAGCTGGGAACCGGGAGCTCAGTCTGCGTCCCCTGTGCAGGTGCAGCCATGGCTGCTTGAGCAGGAAGCTGGGATCAGCAGCAGCACTCAAACCCAGGACCTGACACGGGGGTGGGTGCCCCAAGCAGGGTCTCAACTGCCCGGCCAAACCTGCCCCTCTCAGTCTGAAAGCTGTGCGGAGTCAGGCGCCCTCCCAACAGCGAGCTACCCGGCATTGCAGTTTCTCCTCCAGCGCTGGCTTGTCGGCACAGTGTGCCCAGATCAGACATTCAGAGCTGCTGGAAGGGAGCCCAGGCTTATCTGGTGAGTCCAGAGGCACTGGCTGACATGAGGTCTGGTATCTAACATAGTAAGAGCAAACATTTCTGTGCCAGGAGTAAGGGTTCGACCCATCTGCGCCACAGGCCCTGCCCAGGGAAGTCACGTGTGCACAGTGCAGGCTGGTAGCCGCCTTCTGGGCACCTCGCTGAAGCCCGTCATCCTCTGTGGATTCTCTGGCCTTCTGGGCAGGCTGGCCGCCCCTAGGGGAGGGTGGTTAGGCTGTCAGCTCTGCATCACCTGACCTGGGCAGAGGGGTCACCTTTAGTGCAGATGTTTGCGTCTGCCTTCTGGGCTGTACTTGTGCCACTTTATTTTTACTTTATATTTTACTTTATTTGGAAGTCAGCATTATATATAGAGAGAGGCAGAGACAGAGAGAGCTTCCTGTCGCTCCCCCTCTTCGTGGAGGAACGACACAGGATCCTGCCTAGGCTTCCTATCCGAGTCATGGCACCATTATGTCGCTCCCCCTCTTCGTGGAGGAACGACACAGGACCCTGCGCTGTTCTTTCGTCTGCTCGGCCCTCCCCGGGTTCGCTGCTGGTTCTTCCCGGGTTGGCTACTATCCCTTCCACCTCCGTGGAAGGGCAGTTCCCCCTGGCCACATTCCCCACTTCCGCAGGGGAGTGGCACACCGCCGGCCGGCTCGTCTCGGGGGCTGCACAGGTGTTCCCCTTAGATGTTCCCCATAGATGTTCCTGGTGCATGCCGTCTCTCTCCTCCTTTATAGTCCTCCTCCGCCAATCCCAACTCGGCTGCCCACACGCCGAGTACGCTGCTCTCCAATCAGGAGCAAGTCCTACAGTTAATTGGTTGAACTGGAGGCAGCTGTGCGGAAGCTGTTTACTTCTCTCCCAGCGCCATATTGTGGGAGAGCA